ATAGCAACTCAAACCAATAAGCCTTTTATGGCTTAACTATGGACACTAGCGACATCCCCAAAAGAGAGTGTAAAAGAAGCAACCCTCACAAGATCTAGAAAGTTCACTCCCAAAAATAGCCCAAGAAAGCAAAGGACTCCACTGCACAGGCAGAGTGCCCTAACAAGCAACAAAGGTTGAGATGACAAAAGGCCCCCAGTGGACTGGGACCCCTCATGACAAACTCCCCTGAGAGCTGATAGAGCTGAACAAAGAGAGTGCATCTCCGAACCCCAGTCTACTCAACTGGCCACCAAGATGCATGCCAGTACATGCATCCTCTGGATAGTGGAGACCAAAGAGGTCACAAAGCCAAGCTCTCAAGACACAGAACAAGACAAAAGGAAAAATCTCATCCTATATGCACATTAACAGCTTTAGCTAAGCCTTGGGTCTCTTGAAGCCAAACTAATACCTAGGAGGGAGGTGCCACGTGGTTGGGGACTGTTGTTTTACAGAGTACCTGATTGCATGGAAATTTTCTTGAGGTTGCCTGGGAACCTGTGTCATTTTATCCCATTCTATGACCAACTTATACTATCATGGGAGTCTTCTCAAGGTGATGATTGCCCTAATGGCTCTTAACTGCTTGACTCATGCCCACCAATTTTGAGGCCTCTTTGGCTTCCAAGACGCCCTTAGCAACAGCTTTCACCTCATGTACATATTAACTCACAGCAAAATTCACTGCAGGACGAGCCCAGACAATAGGCTTACAGAGATGCCTGCGTCTTGCCCTATGGTTTTTCCTTTTTATGACAAATGACACAAAAGACAGAGACAAGGAAAATAGTGACCATCTCTGGAAGGAGAAGGATCAATAAACCAATGAGTACTCAAACCAAATTTCTCAGAGTTGCTGAATAATATAGTGTCTGGCCATTTTCTCTGGAGTCTAAAGAGTATTGTGGCCATGCAGTGTTGTAAAAGAATATCACCTTTTCCTGTTTCATAGGCTTGCAGCTAAAAGTCATCCAATTTGGGAGAATGCAGCCTAGGGGGCTACAGTGGGGATCAAATTAGCATCTCCCATTGTTTAAGAATTTAGACATGGCCAGTCAAAAGTATATTTATTCTGCAGCTAAAACCAGATCTGAAAAATATTGGGCATCCCCAAAACCAAGGCCCTCACAGTGAAGGCCAAACCAAGGCTTCCTTCTAATGGCCAATGTAATTTCCCTGAGGCTGACAGCAGTTTGGTTAGACCCTTACCCACAAAAGGGAGTGCAACCCACATTTCTGTCTGACCATCTCTGACCGCAAAATGGGGTGCAAGTATATTTTGTCCATCCGTATTCTTTGGGACCACCGCAACCTGATGATTATCAAGCCAAGCCCTTAAGACACAAAAGAAGCTTGGTAAGATTCTGCAGTTCTCTGGAAACTTTCACAGCTTCTGAAAACTTTAGGTCAAATGGTGGAGCCCTTGACTCTTTAAAGATAAAAATTTTCCTTGTTCCTTGGTTTGGAGGCTCCAGAAGAGCCCAAAATGGCCATTTTAATTTTAAATTACCCCAGGTTATCCTGCCAGCTGTTTATAGTTATCTCCATTTTATGTGGCTTTTCCCAAGGTGGCTGCAACAAATAAGTTAATTTCTAAAGAGAGTTTGTTACAGTCTTCAAGAAACTCAGTCCCCAAAACAGCCAATTCAATTCAAACAAACATTAACACACAATACAATTCTACATATAACACAGACCAGAATACTAGCTAGTTTTCCAGGAGTAGTTCAGAACCAGTGCCAGGAACTATCCAAAACCAGATTGCCAGGGGCAACTTGGAACCAGTACCAGGACTTGGTCAGATCCAGAAGCAACTTCACAAATGACTCTTTTTTCCTGCCTCTAATTACCTTGTATGGTGCAGGCCCAAAGTTCAGGACTCAGCCCACCAGCAGTCCCCAGAATACAAGTCAAACTTATATATCTAGGAAATCAGACCAGAGAGATGAGGTAAGGGGCAGTCACCTTCTTAAAGTTACTCACCCAGAGCCCAGAGACATCTTCATCCAGAAGCTGTTTCTCTTCCCAAAAGAAAAAAATGCCTTGGGGCTTGGAACATCGCAGTGGGGAAACGGGAATCTGATCAGTCAAGTCCCTAGACAAAATTGTCTAGGCAGCTGCTTAGGGTTGATGAAAAGACCCCGCACCCCGCAGGAGGTTCCAGAGCCTCGGGCAGGCAGTCACAGGACCTTGTCCCTTCGTGGTCACCAAATTGTTACCACACAAAATTGGGATTCTCTTACCCAATGTGCATAAAAAAAACAATTAATTATGGCATTAGCTTTTGGGGGAGAAATCAGCTTTATACTGCAAGATTGATCTGCAAGAAGCAGGGGGCATGTGCCCTCAGATCTGTCTCCCTGATTCAGGATTTGGGGTGAAATTTAAGAGGTTAGGGAGAACAGGCTGGCACATGGAAATGCTGGTGAGACAGGTTTTGATTGGTGAGTTTCAATCATTTATGGTAAAGTTTTAAACATTTACGACAGGGTTCTAAACATTTATGATGAGATGGGGAAGGAATTTTAACACCAGATCTTCCCGAATGAGGGACCCCTCCTTCTGATAAAAGTCCAACTTTTAAGTTCTGGTCATGTCCTGGTCCTTTGGTTCTGTGGGAAGGAGGAGCTTTGGTTCTGAGGTCAATTCATGTCAAGATTTCTACTTCCATGCATGCTCTGGCTATGTGACTTTGCAAATTTCCTGAAAGGCAATTCTTAATCATTCTATTGATAAGAGATGGGGTCAGTTGAACTGGTCCTGGAGGGCCCGTGGTTATAAGTATACCAGTTTTTAGTTAGTCTCTACCTACCATATATTTTTGTCCTTTTAATATTTAAAAATTATTATATAATTTATTGAAGTAGATTCAAAAGTCTTATTTAAATTTTCAAGTTCAAATTTCAGATATTTTTAAGATGTTTACTATTTAGATTTTTTAACACACAGAAAGTACTAGAAAGACTAGTACAATGACCACCCACATACCCACCACCTACAAACATTATTGTTTTACCATATTTGCTTTATATGCATCTTTTTTTTTAAATTAGGTAGAGCTTACATAAGCCTAATACCATTATCAAACTTAATAAAATTAATAATTCCTTAATACCCAGTTCCATACTCAAATTCCTCCAATTACCCCAAATTGCTTTTATAGTTATTTTTCACATATAGTTGTTTTTGTTTCCAACATGTCTTTCGATCTAAGACAGCTCTCACACACCCTCAATTTTTCTCCTTGATAACATCAACTTCTTTAAGACATCAGCCTAGTTCTCAGATGAAAAGTTCATCCTTTTAATTTCAATCACTGTGTCCTTATATTTTAAGTGTCTCTCCTGTGAACTGTACTCCCTGGATTAGTTTTCTAATCCAGTGTAATGTTTGTCCTTTACTTGGCAAATTTAGTCCATTTACATGTATGGTGATTAACAATATATCTGGAATTAGTTCTTCCACATTATTTGGTTATTTCTACACATCCCACTTTTTTATGTAATTTTTCTTTACTTTTTTTAATTGAAGTGGGTGTTCATGTTTTGCCTTCTTGTGTTTATTTTTCCTCATTCCCTTTTTCTCCATAATTAGTTTGGAAGTTTATACTCCATGTGTCCTGGTCACTTCATGCCACATGAGAGAGGGGGCTTCAAGAGACCCACCCTTTGGGCTTGGCCTGTGTCCCTTGGGTTTGGGGAGCCTGAGAACTGGCACGAGATGTTCCATCAACAGCTGAGGCAAAAAGAAAGGAAACGGCACTAGGAGAAAACTATTCTTATATCAACACTGGGGCGTGGACTGGGCACATGTTTATCCTGGACCTGATGCGGGCCGAGCAGGAGGGAGCTGGCATGGAGCCATTTGTAAATCCTGTCCAGGATTCCAGCAGACACTTGGTCCCCAGACAACCAGGGCTGACAAAGAAAACATTTGCAACCAGATGGAGGATAAGCCTTGCCCTGTGGAGGGAAGGTCAGTTGGCCCCAACAGAGTATTTCTGAAGAACCCACAATAGCCCCTTTCAGAGAAACAGTCACTGTGAACATCTGCCAAGCCCAGCAAGCAGTAACAGTAGACCCCAGGGGCCCAGCCACAGAGGGTCAGAGGGTGGTACCTTCTCCAAAGCCCCTCCTGGGAGGGGTCCACCCCAGGGAGGTCAGTCATGGGGCCAGCTGCACCCCACCTGGTAAGCACTGAGGCAACTTTGTACCATGTGACCCCGCCCCATCGAGTAGAGCTGATTGGCCTAGTAGAGTCACCTGACCCAACGGCAGCCAATGGGTAAGCTGAGCTAGGACGTGGTGAGCTCAGCCAATCAGATTCTCTCTTGGGAACTTGAACTGGGAGCATCCAGCGGCAGTGGGGAGAGATGGAGCTGAACTGAATGGGGGAGGGAAGCCACAGGAGGGGGTGTGGGATCAGAGACTTGAGGTCCGGGGGCAAGCCCAAGTGGTGAGGAAGCAGAAGCAGTGGGGGGTGGAAGTGACAATGCAGAAAAAAGATGTGGAGAGCAGAGGGAGATAAGGAGGTTTTAACAAAATTGGCAAGAGCATATACTGAGTTTCCTTATGGCAGAGGTTTGGTTTGGTTTGATTTGAACTCCACTGAACATCTACAGACTCCAGCTGCTGAGTCCTAGAAGCCATCCTGGGTCTAGTTCCAGGCCAAGAGTCCCGGCTGACCGGTGGTTCCTGTTCTTTATATCAATTAGGTCTGTCCGTCCCCCTTGCTGCCCAAGTGTATCCTTACAACCAGAAATGCACATTACTTGAGATAACCGGAGTTGGACTCTGTTTCCTGCAAGGTAAAGAACGCAGCCCGCAAAGAGAAAGTGAGAAAATCACTAAAGAGCCAGGGTGCAACCTGGCATCGCCAGGAACAGAGCCCAGCCCTCAACAGAATTCACACCAGGCAGTTCTTGCTGCATTTCCCCCAATAAAATCTTCCCTTATTGGGCTTTATTTTATTCTGTGAAAATAAGCCTTATTATAAAACAGAATGAAATCCATAAACCAAACCTCAAAGCTTCTAACCAAACAGGACCCCCTTAAAGTATAAAGTCATTGCTGACAGCACAGTCCCTTCAACTCATTGCTTTTGTCGCTTGTTTCTTGAGAACATGACTCCAATGAGGCCCACAGCTGCCAGGCCCACTCCTGCGATGCCAACTGCCATGATGGCATCTCTGACCTGCAAGAAAGAGGAGGGTAGGTCAGACTCTATGTCAGGAATCTGAGTACAGGCCATACTTTCAACAAGAACATTCAGGTCAGGGAGCCTCACGTGCCCCTTGACACACTCAGGAGTCAACAAATGTTGGCAGGGAAATGGGGAGAAAAGGGCAGATGGGGAAAGAATTGGCGGATGGAGCCAGCTGGCCAGGAGTGTACAAAGGCCTGAAGAGAGAAATCTGATTCACCCTGTGGGTATTTACAGCACATAAATCCCCAGAGAGTGGCTGTGGAAAGGACAAGGCGATGAAGCCTGGATAGTTGAGATCCTGGCTGGCCACTGGGGAGCACTTGAAGCAAGTGTGAAGTCAAGGAGGACTTGTGTTGAATACTCAGTAAACTATGACCTCCGTGAGAGCAAAGACCTCACTCTCTTACTCATCACTGTATCCCCAGCACCCAGACCTGCCAGGCTCAGAGGTGCTCTTTACATACTCTTTTTTTTTTATAATTTTATTTATTAATTTATTTTTCCCCAAAGCCCCAGTAGATAGTTGTATGTCATAGCTGCACATCCTTCTAGTTGCTGTATGTGGGACGCGGCCTCAGCATGGCCAGAGAAGCAGTGCGTCAGTGCGTGCCCAGGATCCGAACCCGGGCCGCCAGCAGCGGAGCGTGTGCACTTAACCACTAAGCCATGGGGCCGGCCCTACATACTCTTAAATAAATGACTCAACTATGAATAGTGGTGATGTTATACTTTAAATTACTAGGATAGCTGACTTGTGTTGCTTGTACTAAAAAAAAAAAAAGTGTTGCAAAAATTAAAGTAAGTTTCAAGGTAAATATCGAACATGTCCAATTTCACTCCTTAGAACCCAACTAAAAGTAAAGTAACCCATTTATTTTAGGGCATAATTCCACAAGGACCCAGAGAACACTAAATTCTAAGGCAGCAGTGGAAAAAGCTGAGGCTCGATCCCAATTGTACAACAGAATCCTTGAAAAAGATCACCTATTGGCACCTCTGGAAGTAGGAGAGAAAGAGAGAGAGCTTTAGCTAGGTCCCTGGCCCCCCTCCCTAACCACAACAGAAGTCTCGAAAGTTTATTCTCAGGAGAAGGTAAGACAGAAGATTTGGGGGCCTAGAAATCTAGAAGCACATGTGAGGGTGTACCATCACAAACAAGGGGCTAAGAGACCATAAACACGCCAAATGTGAGACTCTTGGCCCTCCTACCCGGCCCTGCTCCCAGAACTTTACCCTCCACACAAGAGCCAGGAAAGCTTTTCTGGGGAATCTGACCGGCCCACGTGGAAACAACAAAAGCTACCAACACTGCGGATTCCCAAACAAAGAGCCCGCCCAGCTCCCCTGGAAGTGAACCTCCAAGTCAACAAGCCACCGCCCCCTCCCAGCTCACGCAGAGCTGCCATTGGGAAGCAAGCCCTTACTCATGAGCACACACCCACGGTACCAGGCGTCTGAGGAAGATCTCCGAAATAGAAGACAGGAAGCGAAGCAAGCAGAAAAAAGGCAACCTGGAGAAACAGAATCCATATCTAGAAAAGAAAACGTCTTTTTAAAAACTATATCATTATAGAAGAAAATATAGGCAGTACACTCTTTGACATTGGTCTTAGCAGCATCTTTTTGACACCATGTCTACTGAGGCATGGGAAATGAAAGAAAAAATAAACAAATGGGACTACATCACACTAAAGAGCTTCTGCGAGGCAAAGGAAACCAGGAACAAAACGAAAAGACAGCCCACCAACTGGGAGAAAAATTTGCAAATCATATATCCAACACACGGTTAATCTCCAAAATATATAAAGAACTCATACAACTCAACAACAACAAAAAAAACAACCCAGTCAAGAAATGGGCAGAGGATATGAACTGACATTTTTCTAAAGAAGATAAACAGAAGGCCAACAGGCACATGAAAAGATGTTCAACATCACTAATTATTAGGGAAACGCAAATCAAAACTTCAATGAGATACCACCTCACACTCATCACAATGGCTATAATTAACAAGAAAAGAAACAACAAGTGTTGGAGAGGATGTGGAGAAAAGGGAACCCTCATACACTGCTGGTGGGAATGCAAACTGGTGCAGCCACTGTGGAAAACAGTATGGAGATTTCTCAAAAAATTAAAAATAGAAATACCATAGGATCCAGCTATTCCACTACTGGGTATTTATCCAAGATAATGAAATCAACAATTCAAAAAGATTTATGATATGGAAGCAACCCAAGTGCCCATCGAGACATGAATGGATAAAGAAGATGTATATATATACAATGGAATACTACTCTGACTTTGGTTTAGAACAGCCCCTCCCTACTCCCCCTTTTCTTCTCTTTTTATAAAAGCAGCTCCCCTCCTTTCTTTTCTGGATTTGCCTATGGTTTGCCATAGCATGCACATCCAGAATTGCAATTCTTTTGGCTATTCTGAGATAAAATAATAGGCAAATTTGCTTCTTAAGTTGACAGCATGATGACAAAAGCCTGGATGAAGCTACTGACCTGAGGTTTGACTACTGGTCAGTCTTTAAACCTTCCTCTCAAAGGTAATTAGGCATGGCTGTGTGACAGCCGTGGTTCTGTTGGGCTAGCTTGCTAGGGAGCCTGCATAAAACCACTTGTATCCAGTGTTTTCCTTGCTGAACTATGTGTCAGGGTAGGAGAAATGGTTCACAGATAATGGAGGAGGAACAATATGCCCCTAGTTCTTTACAGAACCTCATAGTGCCAGAACAAATGCAGATGCAACTGTTTCATACAAAAGATACTTTGTCAAGCAAAACAACAATAACCTCATTGTTTATGGACATGCTTTGTACACAGTCAAAGAGTATAATTAAACACAAGAAAGTGGTATCTAGTTAGTCCCGACGGTGCAAATTTTATAGGGAAAACAATCTGCCTAGGAATCAGTGCTATCTTTAGACGCCATTGATGATTTTTTTTTTGTTAAAAGTCTGATGGGTCCAGCCCAGCCACTGGGCTGAAATTACTGGAGTTCTGATCATGAAAATGGGCTACATGGTGTGCATCAGTGGTCCTAAATCAGAATATTATGAAAGAGAAAAATGGTCCCTCATTAAAAATGCTAAGAAATCTGTCATTTTTTAAAGTGGGCAAACTGAAATTCTATCAGACTGCAGACAATTAGCTGTCTATGCCACACAAATCTGAATTAAGCCCCGATGTAGTGAAGTGTGAATTGTTTCTGGCGAAAAAAATTCTAATGTATTTTCTTCACTTTCAGCAATGTTCTAAGAGGACAAAAGAGAAAATGAGAAGAATAGTGTTATTCTGAAGGCAACTGAATTTAGACTATGAGAGGTTACAAAATAAAAATGGTTATAAAATATTTGTATAGCAATTTGGCTTCATTTACAGTAATTTAAAAGTAATACTCTACAATTTATCCAGATTCATGTAATATACATATTGCCATTGGCCACATCTTTGATTTGTGTTTATCTAAATATTTTATCTGACACAGAATAGACTTAGGTATGAATGTGGCTCCTAGTTGCTTTTTTTTAAGTACTATTAAGCATGAAAGCTTATTTACAAAAGCTTACTAAATATAACTTTTTGAAGCCTGAGTATTTTTAAGTAGGTGGAAAGCAGAAGAATCTTTTTTAGAATACTCTTACGCACGTAAAGCACAAACTACATTTTAGTTTAAATCCATTGCTTCCCTTTCTCACCAGGAAGTTAGATGAGTCACAAACATTCTGTTGAAGGAAAACTTAGCCTGCTTCAAAGAGCCCAGCACAAATATACATAATGATGGACGAGATTCTTAAAGACAAAAATGTCCTCATGAGTTAAATGAAAAGGAGAGTTGCTGCTTTGACAGCACTTACAAAGAAAAACACTGCTGGACATTGTCCAGTATCTACTAAATCCACCACCTCTGGTGAGATGGGACATGTGTGGAAGTGACATTTTAATGTGGCCACACCCTGTATTATAATCATTGCTCACCAAGGCTAGTAGTTCTCAACTGGGGACAGTTTTGCCCTCTGGGGGAAATTTGACAATATCTACAGACATTTTTGGTTCTTACACCTGGGGGTCGGGGAGTGCTGCCGGCATCTAGATGCTGCTAAACACCCTGCGGTGCGCAGGACAAGTCATGACAAGGAGGAATTATCTTCACTATCAATGGCCCAAAATGTCAACAGTGCTGAAGTTGAGACACCCTCAATCCTCGGCCAAGAAATGAGAGAGGAAGTCTTTGGAAGATGGCACTTCTTTTCATTGTGTAGTCCATTCTGGTTTCATTTTCTGTGACGGGGTCCAGAAGAATTGTTTAGGCTGTTTTATTGTCATTGTGTTGCCATCACTCTTCCTCTTTCAGGTGGTTGGGTAGGGTGCGAAGGTCTAACGCCACAGGAAGGAAAATGTGATGTGTCCAATTGGTATTGTTTCATTTTGCAATCAGAGTTGAATTATTATTTATAAAAAAAGTAAATGAAAAAAATATTTCTTAGTTATTTCATGATCTCAAGATTTGGAATTGAATTTCATGACTCTAAATATTATTCATGCCTAGTGGCATATGTATTTTACCAAATTATGCAACAGTTTTGTACTGACACATAATGCTCTACTTACACAAACTTGTGAATCTGTTCTTTAGGCTATTAATAATCACTAAAGAATAACTAAAAATGATCTGATTAGGAGACATTTTATAAATCTATGAAATCTTCCTAATGTAGCACCCTGAATTTCACAGAGTATTTTATTATTTCCTGTATTTGCATAGTAATCTTTATTTGGAGTTTCTGCTGCATAGGAGTATGGAAATTTACCTAAAGTAGAAGCCATGCATGACTAAGGACCTCGACTGTTAAGCGACACCACCAATGATGAAATCAGATTTATTTAGCATAAGTCTCTCTTTTTTATGCTGATATTGTCACTGCTACTTTTTTTAACTATTATACCTGTCTATCCATAAATGTTAGTTTTCTAATTTAAAAAAGATAAATAAACAGTAAACAGGGGAGAGAAGATAAGAAAATCAGAGGAGCAGTCTAGGGGTCCAAATCCAAATAATAGGAGAGAATGAGAGAAGAGAAAATGAAGAATTTCCCAGAACTGAAGGAATGGGGCTTCCAGACTGAAAGGAGTCATCAAGTGCCCAGCACAACACAAGAAAATAGATCCACACAAGGTCTATCATAGTGAAATTTCAGAACACTGAGGATAAAGAGAAGATTCTATAAGCTTCTGGAGAGAAAAAACAAGTCATATACACAAGGATCAAAACTCAGAACACTTTCAGACTTCTCAACTATAATAGCATAAGCTAGACAACAATGGAGCAACACCTTCAAAATTCTGAAAAAAAGTTATTTTCTGCCTAGAATTCTATACTTAGCCCAACTATCAATCAAATATGAGGGTACAATGAAGACATTTTCAGGCAGGCAAGCTCTTTTTAAAATGCACCCTTTCTCAGTAAACTATTAGGTATGCCACCAAAACAAGGGAGTAAATCAAGAAAGAGAAAGATGAGAGCTACAGAGGATAAAAGCATTAGTACAGGAAAGAACTGAAGGGGATCTCAAGGATGCTGGTAAAGAGACATAGCAAGATGACAGCTGTGCATCATCAAGTGTGACCCAAGACAAATGTTTTGAAGGCCATTATCCCCAACAGATAGATGTGCTGAGTGCCATCATCCGCCAGATTCCTTCTTTTGTTGCATCGCCTTTTAACCTGACAATATTCAGGTACTAATAAGGTTCTTTTCACGGCCCTGCCCACTGACTTCCCCAAAGGAGGCTCTTATAAACTCTCAGGGAAGCTGAAGCCAGACTGACCCTAAGACTCTGGGAGTCTTCACCAAATGTTGGCAGTATTGCCCTTTCCTTACCTAGCTAGATGTGTACTTGCTACTCCTCAACTTTTATATTAATCACCTTTCACATTCATATATATACATAGAGAGAACAATAATAACACAATTGAGATAATAACACAATAAGAGAATTCCCATTGGAAGATATCTCATATCTCATCACAGAGATGACTACCTAACCAACATGGGGGTCGGTGTAGCAAACAGCTGGTTATCAGCAGTAGGAGGAAAGCTGGGAGTGATCCTTGGAGGTGGTGCTGGTGAATGCATCTCCATCAAGTCACTGTGGCCCAGAGAGGCCAGTGGACAAGGCACTGGGTGAACCAAGAAAAAGAATGAAGATGAAGACAATTATGACCACTTCCACTGCTACAGTTTATTAAGTGTGTTTTCTGAGTCGGCACTGTGCTCAGCATAAAGATGCTCTTGTTAATTCACACAGTAACCGTGAATTAGGCCAGTATTATCATTTGTACTTTACCAAGGTTTTGGGAACTTGAATAAATCTCCCAAGTTCATAAAGCTGGCAAAAGGCAGAGCTCAGATCCAGCCCAGGTCTGCCCGAACCAGGATCCCATGCCCTTGACCACCACACTGACCAAGGAAGAAGAGACCCGATCCTAAAAAATTAAAAAGTAATAAAAATAAACAACCTGAGAGATCTTAACCTCATCGTTCACTGAAAAAAAAAATCATGCTCTTCTGCATCAACAAGCATCTAAGAACTTTTCCAAACAACGTTCTCACCAAAAAAACAGAAATTGGTGTTGAAGGTGTAGAAAGGGAGAGGAGGAGGTGGAGAGAACGGGAAGGAAGTTAGTCACCCAGGAGAAAAAGAGATTCAAAAACCAGAGGGGGCGTGGCCAAAATCAAACTAAGTAAATGAACAAAACTGCCTCCTTTGGGGCCTCCTGGACTGACCCCCCAGTCTCAGCAGGGCTGAGGACAGTGTTTTTTACAAAGTTGTGTCAAACAGACCTGGGCTTCAAATCCTGCCTCTGCTACTTATCAGCACAGTTGCAGACAACTTCTGGGAAAAGACAAGCCGAAGGCCTGGAGACTCAACACACATTTGTTTGATGTAATGAATGGTCATTGACAAGCTACTTAAGTGCACTCCGTGAGCCTCAGTTTCCCCATCTGTGAAGTGGGCAAATCAAACCTGCCTCTGGCACTGTGATAAGGGTCCATCTCAGGGCCTGGCGGCCAGGGAGGGCTCGGCAACCAGGCTGACCATCACGGCTATGACTAATGTCCTAGTCATCGCCCCCTCACCACACGGGTCTGCAGTGCCAACTCGCTGGTCTCCCCACCCTCATCCCCACCCCGACTGTGACGTCCTCAAGGGCAGGGATTCTGTCTCTGCTGTTTTGTCCTGTTCATGCTTCTGTTTCCAGCCCAGCCCAGAACACACGGATGCCCAGCCACTGTCGGCCGAGGAAACGGTCTGGTTCCAGGGGACCGGACACAGGCTGAGGACGCACCTGGTCGCTGCGGGGGACTCCGTAGCGTAGCTCGTTCACGAAGTGCTCGCAGTTCTCGCTGGTCAGTTTGTAGAGCACCTCCTGCCCCACCAGCTCCTCCGCCCGCTGGATGATTTTGCTCGGAGGCAGCGGTGTGTACCTGCCATCGTGTTTGTTATTGACCTGGTACCTGTCCCTCCCGGCCACGTCATACAGCAGTTCCTTCTTCACTATGGCCTTGTCAGCCAGGGTGGACATGATGCTGGCAGCACCAGCTCCCGCAATTTCACCTGTGGATTCACAAAGAGGAAACAGATTGGTCCTGGGAAGGCCCACAGGGGCTCAGAGCAGGCCCCCCGCCAAGCATCCACCCTTGCCACTATCCACAAGGGGATGAGCAGGTGTGGGAGGGTCAAGGGGGAAGGATCAGACACGTGCTGTGTGGCTTTGGAGAAGGCGTTTGCTGTCTCTGGGCCCTGGTTTCCTCATCTGAAATGAGGATTAGTAAAATTCCATGATTTATTGTGATTTTTTTTAACCTAGAGAAGCTGGCCTTCTACACCCTGTGACATCTCAGTGGCCCTCTTGGTTATGCAAATATGAGCCCTGAGCACACCCATCTCCCTGGGGGAACAGAATGTGAACCTTTTATGATTCCATCAAGGCTACACTTCCTTGACATATTCAAGGCTGATCACTGCAGAAAAGGTGGATGGATTTGCAGAAGTAGTTCCTACTCTTCTGGGAGCAAAGGGACCAAAACTCCACAGCTGCTCCCCGAGATGTGATACCAGGAAGGTCCAGGGGGTATCCCTGCACAGCCCTGGCTGAGTCTCCAGGGCTGGAAGGGGCAACAAAGCTCCAGAAATGAAACCGCCTTAACGAAAGAAGGTCTAGGGTCAATACAAAGACCAGGGCAGTAGGGAGGGAGAGCTGATGCCAGCACAGAGACTGAGCATCCCTCCGAGCCAGCCAAGCTGCAGGGTGCAGGGAGGGGCATGCTTTGTGTATGATGGTTGAAAAAGTGGGTGTGCACTACAGAGGTGGACCCCGGGAGCCCAGAGAACATCACAAGAGGAACATCACTCTCCTTCAAAGAACCACAAAGAGGATCAGGACCCCCAGGGCTCTTCTCAGCAGGGGAGGCATCCTGTTACACTGGGCAGGACAGGTCTTCCACTGTGACACCATGTGACAGCAACAAGCAATGGCAGGAGGGGTTGATCAGATTCCAGGTCCTGCTCTGCTTGTCTTTCCAAAGAGGACTAAACCCCTTTGCCCTGAGTACAATACTGAGATTTTAGAAAATCAGAGGAATTCAGGGCCGGCCCCGTGGCTTAGCGGTTAAGTGCGCGCGCTCCGCTGCTGGCGGCCCGGGTTCGGATCCGGGGCGTGCGCTGACGCACGGCTTCTCCGGCCACGCTGAGGCCACATCCCACACACAGCAACTAGAAGGATGTGCAACTGTGACGTACAACTATCTACTGGGGCTTTGGGGGAAAAATAAATAAATAAAATTAAAAAAAAAATCAGAGGAATTCAGACTTGCTACTAATAGGGGAGGTGTGCTTGAAGGAGCCATTGAAGTAAAGGAAAGAGATGATGCTGTGTCTGAGCCCTGTCTTTGTGGGGAGGGTCAGCGTGGGAACCGGACAGGTGAGCTTCAGTCCCCAGGGGCAGGACTGGGATGGGGGTGAGGCAAGCAAGGTGCCTAGAGCACAAAGCGTCAGGAGGTACCAGCTCTCAGGGAGTGCAAGTACAGAGTCAGCCCCTAAGAATCAGAGCTCCCTTAAACTTTGCACTCTGGGCGGCACCCTTGGAGGTGGTATAATAGTGCATGGCTGACAGTCAGAAGCTTTGGTTTCCACTTCTGCCTCCATCACCGGGTAGTCTTCACATGTCACTCAACCCTGCTGAGCCCACACTGGGGGAATCCCCAAATACACACTAAAATTGATCCACAAACACACATGAATACAGTAATTTAAAGTCCTTTTAAAAGAATTATTTCAGTTTTTAAAAGTTATCTTTTCAAAGAAAATATTAAATAAACTATCGTAGAAAGGGCACGTGGATAAGGCAAACAGTCAATGACTGAATTTGGGGGACTGTCAGACTGGGCAGGATGCATCGTGGTTAAAGGCACAGAATAGAGAGTCGACAGCCAGGGTTTGAGTCCCACCTCCACCTCTTGCCTGCTGTGTGAACTTGGGCAAGTTGCTTAACTTCTCTGAGCCCCCATTCCTGGTAGAATATGGACCATAACGGTCCCTACCTGTTCCTACAGTACAGTACAGGGAGCTGTGGATTAAAGAACCAGCCAAGCAAGGTGCCTTCACCAGGGCCTGGCACAGGGTGAGTGGCCGGCAACTGGTGGCTGTCATTATTATTGGGGTTATTCTCTAAGCTACCTTCCAACTCTCATTGCTACCATTTTCTCAGTAGCGTGAGGTCAGTCCTCCTTGCCTCCCCTATTTCCCAAGATTCCTGTAGAGCTCAAGTGAGAAGATGCAGGGAGAGCATCTTTTCCCTTTAAGGAGCATCACTCACCCAATGATCAGTGGCATCCATCCACCTGGATCCCTGTCATGCCTTCCTCTGCCTCCCGGCCACCAGTTAGACCCGCTCAGTGCAGTCAGTCAATCAATACTGGGGCCCTACCAAGTGCCAGGCCTTGTCCAAGGTGCTGAGATAGTGGCGTGAACTAGACAGCGCACCTGCCCTCAAGTAGCTCATGTTCTAGGGAGAGGACACTGACAATGAACAAACAGAGAAAATAAGGTACTTTCAGGTGCTGAAAATGCTATGGAGAAGAAGAAGTGCGGCAACATAGGAGAGGATGACGAGGGGAGGCTGCTCTGGCTCGGGTTGGGGAGGGCCACCCTGGAAATGGGCATTTGAGTTGAGACTTGAATGATGACAAGGAGGCAGGTGTGCTGAGATCCAGGGAGAGCACCACAAGAAGAAGGAAGAGCAAGGGCAAAGACCTCGGGGAGGAAAGAGCATGGCATGCTCCAGAGGCTGCAAGGAAGCCAATGTGGCTGAAGTCTAGAGACCCAGGAGGAGAGAAGAGAAAGATGAGGGTCAGAGAAGCAGGCAGAAGCCAGACCATGCCAGGCCCCACGGGCCACAGCACAGACTGAACCTTATTCTATGTGTGATGGAAATGCCAATCCAGAATTTTAAGGAGAGGAGTGACATAATCAGATTTATAATTTAGAATGATCACGCTGCCTTCCCAGTGAAGGAGGGACTGACCATAAGTGGGCAAGAGGCAGAGAAACCAGCTGGAAGCTATAGTAGCTTCCAGATGACAGAAGGTGGTAGCTTATACAAGGACACAGCAGTGGAGATGGCGAGAAGTGATTGGGTCTGGGGTCTGTTTTGGAGATAAAGCCAATAAGATTCCCTGATGGATTAGATACGGGATGAAAAGGATTGAGGATGAGCCTGAGCTAGATTCTTGGCCTGAGCAGCTGGATGGTGTCATCCACTGGAGCCTTCCATTTGGGGCATGTCAAGTTCAACATGCCAGTTAGACACCAGGTGGAGAAGCCAAGTAGTCAAGAGGGTATACAAGCCTGAGGCTGAGCGGGAAGGCCTCAGCTGAGGGTCAGGCTTAGGAGATATGGACAAATGGAAGGTATTGGAACCCAGGGGACCCAATGAAGTCACCTGGGGAGAGTGAGGATTGGGGATATGGGAGAGGAGGAGGAGCCCACAGGAGACCAAGAAGGAAGGGCCCAGTGGGAGAGGAAGAAGGACAGATGGCAGGCGAAGAGCAGAGAGGTCACTTGTGTCAAAGGCTGCAGAGAAGCCACGTAAGCTGTGACCAGAAAATTGACCTTTGGCTTTGTCAAGACATGGAGGGTCTTTTAGCAGCCTGATAAGAGCTTCTCCAGGAGGGGGGTAAAAAAGAGAGCCTGCTGGAGGCAACCGAATTAAGAACGAGAAGTGAGGAATCAACAATGGCCACGGTAGACAAGAGATCTGCTCTATGGGGAGTTACCTAGAGAGGATGTGAGGTCGAGGGGGTGTTTGTTTTATCAACAGGAGATATTACAGTGGTCTCTATGCCAATAGGCATAATCCAGTAGAGAGGGAAGCAATGATACTACAAAAGGAGGAGGGGAATTTGAGAAGCAATGTGCTTACGAAAGTAAGAGGAGGGGTCCAGGACCGACATATACGGGCTGGCTTTCTAAATAAGGGCAGGGGCACTGTGCATTTTAACAGAACAAAAGGAAGATTATGTGGGTGCAGATCTTGGTGGTTTGGTTAATCAGGCGTGGGGAAGATGACATCTACTCTGGTTACTTCTGATTTCTCCACAAGGACAAGGGGAGGCCGTTAAAGGGACAGGCAAGAGACATGTCCAAGAATGTCCATAGCAGCTGTGTTCATAGCGGCCGAAAACTGGAACCAATCCAATGTCCATCAGCAGCAGAACGGATAACAAACTGAGGTGTATTCATATAACAGAAAATATACAGCAATGAAAAGATAAGAACTACCGCTACTCACAACACGGAGGGCTCACGGCCCAATGAAAGAAGCAGACACAGACTGTGTGATTCCTCTCACATGAAGTTCTCAAACAAACAAAACTAATCTATGGCAAGAGAAGCTAAAATAGTGGTTGCCTCCAGGGAGGGGAGAGGATATTGAGGAGGCACGCAGGAACCTTTTAGGACAGGGGAATGTTCTAGATCTTGATCTGGGTCATTGTCACATGCATGGATACATTTTTTGTTTAATTCACCAACTAAACACTTTACTACATTTGTGCACTTTACTATATTTATGTTAGACCTCAGTTTGACTAAAATATTTAAGAAAGGGGGTGGGGAATTCTCACAATAATTCTCCGAGTCGAGTATTCTTAGCCTCAGTGTACAGGTAAAGAAACTGAGGCTGGAGAGTAGAAACTGGATTCACAGGCAGGTCTGCTGCCCAAAAACCCATGCTCTCCCAGGAGTTTTACGCTTAAGAGTTGAACATGGTTTATATAAAGCCACAGTATATGAAAACATAAAAGCAGAGTGCCCCCAGCTCAGCCCCTCTATAGAACCCCTAGGGTTCCATGGAGCAGAGTTTGAAAACCACGGCCCCACACCAAACTGCCTTCCTGTGCCTTCAGGAACCAATCGCCAGTAGGGAAGCAAGGAGAATGTTGGGGTCACCTGTTACCCACAGCTCCCCCATCTCCCTCTCCTCCCAGCCCCAGCACAGTGGAGGCCCTGGGCATCCTTACTTGGGGGGGCCAGGTGGATCACATATCCATCGCCAACGTAGATGGCCCAGTGTCGGTAGAAAGGCCGGAAAATCTCAATCAGGTCTCCAGGCTTGGGCTCTGGCTGCAAAACCAAGAAGAGGACTGTTAGAGGTGACACGAGTGAGACTTTGGAACCAGCTGGCAAAGGCTGGGGTCCCTGCCAGAGGCTGTCAAACTGGGAGGGTGTCCCACAGACACTCCCCAACCTGGCCGAGGGCCTGACCAAGAATTGGTGTCAGTCTCTGGCAGTAATGTCCTCCTGGCTGCTCATGCTGATGATAAGAGAGTGTGTGTGTGTGTGTGTGTGTGTGTGAGTGTGAGTGTATGAGTAAAGGAAAACACTTTCTCCTCTACACTGTACTCACACCAACACTTCTGACACCAGATGTGTGAGTTTTCCACACCAAGCAATTCAATCCTCAGTGGACATGGATTGGGTGTCCTACAATTTACCTCAATTTTGACACTAACCGCCCAGAGTTAAGACAGACCCCACCAGTTAAGGGCTCAGTCCCACAAGAGTGCCCCCCACCCAGTTCAGCTGCTAATCACAAGTCCAGTTGTCACCTGTGCTTCTGACCAACCAGCTATAAATCGGGGCTTCCATAACCCCTTCTCAGGTTCAATAAGTTGCTAGAATGGCTCACAGAACTCAGGAAAACAGTTTTATTACTAGATTACCAGTTCATTATAAAGGATACAACTCAGGAACAGCCAGATGGAAGAGACACATAGGGCCTGGTACATGGGAAGGGGCACAGAGCTCCCACACCCTCTCCAGGCTGCCACTCTCCCAGCACCTCCACGTGTTCACCAACCCAGAAGCTCTCAGAATCCCTTGGGTTAGGGTTGTTTATGAAGGCTACATTACATAGGCGTGATTTTTTTTTTTTTTTGTGAGGAAGATCAGCTCTGAGCTAACATCCATGCCAATCCTCCTCTTTCTGCTGAGGAAGACCGGCCCTGAGCTAACATCTATTGCCAATCCGCCTCCTTTTTTTTTCCCTTTTCCCCCTAAAGTCCCAGTAGATAGTTGTATGGCATAATTGCACAACCTTCTAGCTGCTGTGTGTGGGACTTGGCCTCAGCATGGCTGGAGAAGCATGCCTCGGTTTGCGCCTGGGGTCCGAACCAGGGCCTTCAGTCGCCGAACGCGCGCACTCAACCGCTAAGCCACAGGCCGGCCCCTACGTAGCCATGATTGATTAAATCATTGACCATTAGAGATTAACTCACCTCCAACCCCTCCCAGCTCCCAGGATGGGTGAGGCTGAAAGTTCCAGCTCTCTAATCCCACCATTGGTTCCTCCGGCTGAGTCCTCATCACCTTATTAGCATAAACTCAAGTAAGGTTGAAAGGGACTTGTTATGAACAACAAAAGACTCTCCTTTCAACCCTATCACTCAGGAAATTACAAGAGTTTTAGCTCTGTGCCAGCAACTGGGACAAAGACCAAAAATATATTTCTTATTATATCACGATCAATGTGTGTGGGAGTGAGCATGCATGTGCTTGTGCGGGGGCAGGAAGAACGCTGAAATGCTGCTCAGAGCCCCGTCCCCTTAGGGGGCATGGGGCGGGGCTTGAGAAAACTTCGAGGAGGTTCAAGATCACTTTCATTCAATGTTATTGAGGTGCCAAAAACAGACGCTGTGCTGAGTGCTGGGGGCAGGGGGCTTCCGACTTGGACCAGCATCAGGGGTGACAGCTTCTCTGGTCCAAGTCAATCTTAAATCTCTTTAATGAGTGAGGAAACCATCCCTTTAAAACACCAAGAGACAGCTCTCTCCTCTGTCCTTTGCCCGAGTCTTCACTCGCAGTTACAGCCTCGCGCCCTTCAGCACAGTGAAGAGGGGGAGTTCTGGGGGGGGGGGGGGGGTAGGTGGGAGCTGGCTCGCTTGTTCTTAGCGGGCAGCTTCACAGGGGTTACCACTGCCAAGCCCTGTGTGCCTGACTGAGTGATTCCGTCAAGGATGCAGAGGGGAGAAGGATTCGCCTTTGCACGGCTTCCCTTGGGATAAAAACAATGGCCGGTGGGAATAGCCAATCACAACTCTACAAAGCCTGTGAAGCAGGGTCAGTGGGAGTTCATTTCCATTTACAGAAACATTAAAACTGCAAACAAGCATCACATATGGCAGGAAAAAATTCTTTTCACGAGAATTTTACTGATTAATCATGTTCTCTTGTGCAGTAATTATAATTTATCTTCCCAAAAGAAGGCACCCAGACCTTACTGAGAACCTATTTCAGAACAATGGACAATGGCTGCAGTTTAGGAATCCCATTTGTTTTCCAGAATAAAAGAAAAAAATATTAATTGTTTGGTGAGAGTTAGAGGGTCTTCAAGGATCCCCCAGGGGAATTTAACTGGGGGCCTCCATGAATAAGCAAAGAGGTAAAGACAAGACAGGGATCCAGCCCTGAAGGAGGCTACGGATTGGAAAAGGAGAGTGTGCACATAAGTAATATGGTGCCAAGCAAAAGGCAGCCAGCGGGTGCACAGACCCAAGGAGTTCACTGTGCTCCAGACAAACATCAATGAAAGGAGACCTACACATAGAAATATGCCCGGAAAAAAATTCTTATTACGATGACAAAAATATCTACAAAGAAACTCAGAATGTATAACACTAAACACTAAAAGATGACAGAGGGGCAAATGCATGATGCTAAGTAAAAGAAGCCATATGCAAAAAGGAACGTCATGTATGAGTCCATTTATATGTACTTCCAGAAGAGGCATCACTAGAGGCAGGAGAGTGATCAGTGATTGCCAGGGGCCGGGAGTGAGGAGAGAGGTTGACAAGAGAGGAGCGTGAGGGAATTTGGGGGCAATGCAACTGATGATTATGCAATTGTACGTGTTTTACAAAACTTAAAGAACTGAACTTAAAAGGAGTAAATTAGACCTTAATTTTTTTTAAACATACACTTTTTTTTAAATAAAAGTGAAAAATATTTTTTAATGGATATCTACAGTTTGAAAGGAAACAAGTTGTGATGTTTAAATACCCAAGCAAATTGCCTGTCCCTTGTAAGGGCAAAAGACACATATTTTCAAATATACATAAGCTCAAATAATACCACTCAAGGAAGCTTCTTTTTAAAAATGAAGTGAAAGCTTGTGGACTCACCCTGAGCACTAGTTCAAAGCAAGGACTCGATGTTCACATGGCAACACGGATAATCTTTTAGACATAGTGCTAAGTGGAAAATGAGAATGAGCTCTGCAACCTAATACCATTTATATAAATTAAAGATGCCCACACAAAAATCAATAATATACACCCAGACCTGAAAAAATAATTTTAAAAAAGCAATAACAACCAGAAAAAAATCATGCAAACTAAAGAACATACATTAAATATATTATGGCCACTGGGAAGATGGAGTAAGGGATGATGATAAATGGGAACCAAAAAAAACCACAAGAGAGGGGGTCTTACAGGGACCAGTGAGGGCAGGGTACCACAAACTAAGGACATGAATAATTCTCTATCACGATCACTAAAATCTAACTAGAGAAACAATGACTTAATGATACACACAAGCCAATTCAGCTGAATCAAAATTAAGAACTCAAGAAATCGTGTTATAAAATTAGATGTATGAGAACTACATTCCATGGGCCAAATTTCTGCCTCTGCTCATTTTTGGATGCAAGCTAAGAATGGTTTTTACATTTTTTTAAATGATTGGGGAAGAAGTCAAAAGAAGAAGACTATTTTGTGACACATGAAATCATATGAAATTCCAGCTCAGTGTCCATAAAGTTTTATGGGCACACAGCCACCCCCATTTATTTACGTATTGTCCGTGGCTGCTTTCTCTCTACAACAGTGGAATTGAGTAGTTGCAACCAAGACCATACGGCTTGCAGAACCTAAAATCTTCACTATCTGGTCCTGTCCAGAAAAAGCTTGCAGACTCCTGGTATAAAAGGATCAACAGTGCTATCTCCCTCATTCAGCTTGATCCCTAGTCCAGGAGTCGGGTTGTATCACGTTGCCAGGTGGTTCTTCCCCCAGGAACAAGGTGACCCAGCAGGAAGCACTAGGAAGAGAGCCACCTCTCCAGGGCAGGACTGGGCAGGATCCCCAGCCAGCAGAGTAACCAGGGCTCTCCTACGCAACACCGGCGATAACAATGGCAAAGCTGAGACTCTGCACCCACGAGATTCCAGAACAAAAAGTCTTTATTCTCCCCACAAAAGCAGAGTTACAAAGAGCTGTGTAACAGCCATTTTCCTTAGCAAGCAAATTGAGGAGCAATTTCTGGCCTCCAAAATTCATATTGGAAAAACAACATAAACAACCATTAATAAGGACCAATTAAATAAATTATCTTACATCCATATGTGCATACAGCTGATACCGGCTCAACACAAGGTTGACATAAGGGAAGCCATATTGTAGAAAAGAAACCCTATTGTAACTTTGAATGACCTCTGATTAACTAGCCCAGACATGCTCTGTGGATTTTATGGCCCCTCCCAGCTGCTATAAGTTGATAACTTTGTTCTCTTGAGTTCCTTAGGAATCTGATGACCCCTGAACAGAGAGTCTATGCTGAAGCCATCATCAAGGACAACTAAAAGATGAGGGTATAGGGCACTGGTCCAGTCTCTGATGCATATCCAGTAAAACAAAGACTATCAGGAACTAAGACCAGACGTCTGCCCCCACCTGGAGATTAGATGGATGCCCCGCCGGGACAGTAGATGTCTGCCTCCACCTGGAGATCAGACGGATGCCCCCACCCAGAGACTAGATGCCTCCCCCACCTGGAGACCAGCCCCCTATATAACTGGCCTGTAATCTTTGTCTGTAAGATGGTTTTTTCAGACATGAGTCAGCCATCTTCCCTCTTGCTAGCAAGCTGTAATAAAGTCCTTTCTCTCCTACGTCCTTGCCTCTTGACTATTGGCATAACTTGCAGCGGGCAGACGAACCCCGTTTATGGGTGGTAACACAGCCATTAGAGAGAACAAGGTGGATTTATAAGAGCAGATATGGAAATAATTGGAAAAAGTAAGTTGAAAAACATTTTTATCCCATTTTGGCTTAAAATACATTTCA